TTTGTATCTGCAGGCAGTCATATCCACAGTCTCTATTTTGAAGCTACACAGAAACTAGGTTGTTATGAGGGCCCCAGCTGTAGGTGTGTTGCTAACTTATATTCCTGCTAGAGTGTCTAATTCCTGTTGGTGCCTGTGCGTGGAAAAGGGAGAGTGTGTAGGTCTTCAGTGGAATACAACTTGCTGCTCGTGGTACACAGATTTAGCTGAGACTGTATGTATGTGTCGCACAGGCATGCACCCTAGTCTGTTTGCAGCTAGTAAATGACAACCTGATTGCTTTAAAGACACTGTCTGGACTGCTCGGGTTGAATTTCACAGCAAGGTTAGGTTCCCTCTTCCCCCAAGGGGGCAATGCGAGCCAGTCGAGGCTTGGGAGCCCGAGGAACTGACTCCTCCAGAAAAGGAGATGTTTCATGAAACTGGTCTTGGGATCACACAAGGGAAGCCGTGCTAACAACAGCGGGGTTTTTTTCAAAATTTCATAAAGAAAATGAGCGGGGAAAAATTGAAAACGAAATTAAACAGTTGAATATTCCCCGACCACTGCCAGTTAAAGCCTTTTCTTTCAGGCTTTTTACAGGGTCTTTCTGAATATTTGGGGAGCCTCACAACACCACCTGTGTAACGCCATTCGTGTGCTTATCAAGCAATCCAGAAAGAGCAGATAAGAAACGGCTGGCCCGTGTTCACAGGGAGTCTTTGGCAAGTCCCTAGGATGTGTGCATCTCGTCTGGCTGTGGGAGTCCCTGTTTCTTGGCTCTATCTGTTAAATATACTTCTCATTGCGCTGTGTCATGTTTTAAGAACAGCTGATATTTATATTTATGGAAGTGTATATTGCTGTGCCAGACAGCACAGAGCTCCCCAGCACCTGTGCTATAGGCTGGGCTGCAAAAGCACAAGGTTTCTTTAGGAACTGCTGTCTACTTTTAGCTCTATGTTGAATCTCTGCTCATCTCCAGTATTTTTTTTTTTTAAGAGAGGAAAGCAAGCTCTTACCAAGGCTCAGAAAATCCCAGTGTAAGCCATGCCACTGCAGGTGAGTAATGAAACCAGCAGGTTTGGAACAAATCAGTGCTCACCTACGAAGGATAGCTGCCTTGCTTGTGCACGCAGAATTAAAGATGCTTTCTTGCTTGCTTCCAGGCTGTATTTCAAAAGCTGTTTTTTCCCCCAGATAGACACACCACCTCCCATAACTGCATTAAAAGAGGGAAAACATTCTATTAAAATGAGTTGTATGATTTTCTAACTCCACCTACCTTAGCTTTTGTGGTTATACCATCAGCATGCCCCTTCACAACGACTGTTTTGCACTGGCTGTCCAGGTTTCAGATCCCAGGAAGATGGGACACCCCTTGCTTTGTACCTCAAGCACCCGGCTTCAGGCTGAGGTCCCTGTGGGACCTGCCTGCTGGCATTGCTGCAGCGTTCACCAACAAACTCACCACACTGCTAGGGGAGTTGTTCTAAGAAATTATTCCCAAAGCATTCAGGCTTCCGTACTTTTGAGATCTCTCTTGAGACTGCGTCATTCCCTGGTGTTGGTTCTTTGATGTGCAATGTTTTGGGAATACTTTGGATGGGTCATTCTGGTTGTTCTAGCAAGGGCCCTCTTGCATCAGAGAAGACCCAAAGGTGCAATTTTGTTTACACAACATTTGAAGAGATTGCATGGACTGTGCTGTTTGACTGTCCTGATACTGCTGTGTCTTTCAGGTATTCAGATTCATGACAGAAGGCGAGATTTGTACTTTTAGCAACTGGATGTTTCTGCTTTATTCTGAAAGAGGAAGTTCTTGCTGTGAACTCTTATTATTTGCAACTGTGAATCAAGAAGAAATGAACTGCAGCTCTTCTGTGCTTTTTTTCTCAGTTGGAAGAATACATATACTATTTACTATTTGGGGAACGAAAAATCATCTTTTTCTGTTCAGTAAATGTTTTCCAATAGCTGTGGTATTAACCCTGAGAGTATGTTTGTTGTGAAGAAATATTGTCTACTTAAGGCTTTTCATGTAGCCCTCTCTGAAAGGACTCTTAGCAATTTTTAATCTTTCTGTGTTTTTTCATTTACTTTCTGTTGATAAGAAGCACAATTCTTATCAGTGCAGTTGATAACTGAGAAGTGCAGGGATGCAGTTAGCGTAAATTCAGTGCTGCAGCTTCTTAGCTTGATTTGATGCCGCCATATCATTTAAGATGATATCTCTTGCCCATGGTCTAATATTAAGACAACCACAGCTCAGTAAAGCACATTATCATATTTATGTTTTGGAAGTACAGTAATTTGTAACCATACTTGCAATTCACAGGGACATTCTTCAGAAACTATGTAACAGGCTTTTCCCCAAAGGCTCTGTTTTGGCCTCTTCTAATGTATACTCATCCTCTAGAAAACAGTGAATTAAGACTAGATCTGGGAGGAAACCTGGGTCCTCGCTGGCTGCAGTTAAAATACCACTGAGCAAGAAGGTGGAGGTGGGAATGGTCTCTTTCCCCATATGCTCTGCAGGTGTAAGATGTTCTTTTTTGTAAATGAACCTTGTGAGCTTGAAGGACTCTGTCACCAGAACCAGCAAAAATCCCTCTATTCACCGTAACTGCGTCCCACTGACCTCAGAACGGCTGAACGGGGGCTGGTCTCGATGCTCCTTCGTGCAGCAGAAGTGGCAGCCAGGAACTGTGAATTGATCCTCCACGTTCAGATCCTCACCTCGCTTCACCACTTGCCCTTGGCCAATATGTTTGCTGAAGCTACTGTGAGTAAAACCTCATGTGACTGATGTTTCGGGGTGTGTGTGTAATCCCTTCAGTAAGAAAGACTGCTTAGCCTTTATTGTAAATCCTAAGGATAAAAAAGATTTGGGTTTATTTTTTTCTTCATTAGCTATCTATTAATTTAATATGAAGGAGCACAATTAACTTTAACTGACAGCTCTATGCAGTTGCTTAAGGAAAGTTGACCTTAGAGATCCTAGAGCGTGTGATTTATAGGACAAATCCTTAGCTGGTGTAGGTATTTGTGGCTCTGTTTACACCAGATAGCTACGCTGCCACTGGTCTACTTCAGTTACAACACCTTGCGTAATTTTATAAATAATTTGAGTTAAGCAACTTTAGATGTTTATGGTACTGATTTAAAAAGAAAAATTTTAAGAATCCCAGCGTGTATTGTAAAAGCTTGGTCTAGCCTATATATGACCTAGACCAACTTTGTGATCACATACAAGAGCGATGATTTTAACTAAATTATTAAAAGGTAGAACAACATTCTGTCTTCCTATAGATAAGCACTGAAAAATCACTCATTTTTAATATTTCTACAAAACTGCCTTTCTTCTCTTTTAAGAATACCTCTCCAATTAGTTTTCTTTTGTCATCCACAAACCACTTAATTCTCTGATTTTTAAGGCTATGTGGTAATATAATTTGACTGCCTCTATGGGCCGAAGCGAAGATTTCCAAGCTGCACTCCATGCATCTGTCTTACTAGGGTGTGTCGTAATCCCAGTGAAGTTATTGCTTCAAAATACTGCAAAAGTATTTCTGTCTCCCTCTGCCATACCTCCTAAAAGAAAATGTGTAAATAATTTAGCTTTAAAATCTGAAAAGACATATGACAGTATATTTAAATGTTGTTAAAATGTAGTGCTTCTTGGAACAGTTTGGTCCTGTGCGTGTCACAGCTGGAGACGTTCAAGGTGGCATATACAGCCCGTGTTTCTGGTAAAAACCAAGTGGGGTTGGACGGTATGGGGGAAAAAATTCATCCTTCGTAAATGCGTGTCACTTATTGCAAGGGCATAAGGCATCGCTGGTTCTTCCTTGACACGGGAGCGCTTTGAGCCGTTGCTGCAAGGTTTGGCAGCGCCGCGTCCTCGCCGTCCGGCTGCGCAGCAGACCTGGGGCAAGGCAGTAAGTGCAGCCCAAGAGGCTGGAGTCTCGTCCTGGACCCCCCTTCGTCAGCGCCCCAAGCCATGGTGCCGGGCTCTGCTTGCTCTGCTCCCTGGCCATTAGAAGAATGATGAGCTGGCGTGGACAGAGGCTCTGCTGCTCCAGCGTTTTGTCTCACACCACCGCAGTAACGTGCACCACAGCGTGCCTGGGTTTGCAGGCATCTTACTTTTCTTCTGCAGTGAACATAGTTAACCCATCAGTGCAACGTGCCTTTAACGATTTGGTGTGAACAGAGAGGCTTGAACATTTCACAGCAGGTCCCTAGGTTAGGTAGGCTTTTATGTACACATGTATTTTTCTTTTTTAGTATATATACACATATATATTCCTCTACAATATTATTTGTCCAGAGTGGAGTGTTCCTTGCCTTTCCACTCAGGCTAGCGCTGCGTTCCCGATGCTGCCGTACTGCCGTCACGCTCCGACGCCGGCGTCTTCATTCCCATTCAGTACATGCGGTCTCTTGCTCGGGAGGACTTGGCAGACGGCGCGCTGCGTTCGGCAGCTGCCATCTGGTGCTTCCCACGGTTGTTTTCGGTTCCGGCTCTGAATGCAGCAGTCACGGTGGTGACGAGAGGAGCAGGGATGCGGGATGTACCCGTTCCGACAGCTTCCGACTCTCCAAATGCTAGCACACCTCGGCAGGGACGGCTCCAAAGGGCGAACCTGGGCCGGGTGTTACATTTGCTGGTAATTTATTGACTTTGTGGGAAAGTGCTGTTTGCCTTCAGCTGGGTACCATTTCTAAAACTCTAGTCCAGGAATAACTTCTTTTCTTCTATCTTTTTCTGGCGGGCAGATGAGATGCAAACTACATGCTCTGTGAGCCCGGTTCAGGGATTAACGCAGAGTATACTACTCAAGTGTTAGGCACGTGTACCCTGTGAGGAGTCTGGAGCTTATATTAAGAAGTCATAGGAACCGTTGTACATGCTGCACCATGCACGTCCTGGGACACAGACATTTTCTTCCCTGCGTTTGCAGGCACCGTGCTCTGCCTTCTCTCACGGGATGGCCCTGGTCCAGCTCCTCCTCTGATGGTCAGATAAACCCGTGGGTGGCTGGGAGCAGTGTAGCTGGCTTAGCTACTCCACCCCATTTTAGTCACTCATTAGCACTGTTAAAAATAGTTCCGGACTGCAATGACAAACAAGAGAAATTCTTTTGCTATTACAGGAAAACCTAAAGGTTATTAAAAAAAAAAAAAAAAAAAAAACAAAGAAAAAAAAAATTGATATAACAAAAAAACCAAAAAGTTTTTAAAAAAAAAAAAAAAAAAAAAAAAGAAAGAAAAAAGAAAAAGGGGGGATCAGGAATGCTACTGGGTAACTTGGCCACAGTTTATATGGCCTCTTTCGAGCATTCATTGCCTCTCTTCCCCATCAGCCTAGCTCTTTATTTGGAGTCAACGTAGTTCCAAAACGTCCTAGAAATGTGATGGAGATGTGACAGTATGTTTGCATTTGTGTTATTCCTAATTTTGGATGAGCAGCTGGAAGAAACACAAATTCTCCTGTGTGCACTCGGGCTGGAGGTGGCAGCAGTTTGCTGGGGAGCTGGGCTGTCTCCAGGGTCACCGTGAGAGGGCTGGCTGTCCCCAGCCCAGGGGACCGCCACCTCGCAGGGATGCTAATGGTGATGTCACCCAGGAAGACGGTCATAGCTGGTGGCCCTCACCCTGGAGATGATACCTCTCATCCTTTTCAGAGGAGGAAGCCCAAGCTGCTGTTGCTTTCGTTTTTGTTCAGGTGTCAGTTAATTTGTCCTGTTGCAGGTGAGAAAGGGACACCTCATGTACCTGCAAGGCACATAGCCTTTGGTAAACACTTGCTCATCGCTGGGATTTCTGACTGTCTTGTGGTTTTTAAGCCTCTTTTCTGGCAGGCTCTGCCAAGCTGGACAGCCCTGCTCCTGGTGAGAGGCTCAGAGTCACAGGGCAAGGCTGAGATCCGGCCAGTGCATGATGAATTTGCAGTTGTCTGAACTAAAGGTGTGATCTGTGCCCCGCACAACGTTGCAGACGTTGGGAAATAGAAGTGAAGTTTGCAAACTCTTTTTTTTTTTTTTTTTAATGACAAATAATCTTGAAAGTGATTCATGTTGGAGAATTCTCAAAGCATTGAAGAAAGCGAACAGGTTTGGGTAAGGGAACAGTGACTTCATGGCACCGTTCCCTCCAGCGTGGAGAGCAGAAGCACGACTGGGAAAGAGCTTGCCACCCGACCAGCGAGATTCACTCGCGAATGTGACAGCTCCTCGTTCCTGGGTAGGGGAGCTCCCAAATCCCCCTAGGAAAATGGCAGCCAAACTGAGCCAAGGCCTTTCTGAAGGGCTGGCTCTGCTTGCCTCACCTCCCAGCAGCCTGGAGAGCCTCGCAGGCTGCCAGCCCTGCTGCTGGGCAGGAGGAGCCCGGGCAGGATGGGGGTGCGCCCACAGGCGCCCCCGCCCGGGCAGACTGGTGCTGCGCCCACAGCTGCCCCAGCCGGAGCTGCAATAACCGCAGGTACGGGGCCCAAACCGGCCCACGCTGTCAGTGCCTCTGCTCAGAGAGCATGGTGCTCTGCCAGCCTTTTCCAAAGCTGGGGTCGGAAAAAATGCCTCTTACTGGGGTATTTTTTTGGTGTGTGTTTGGTTTGGGGTTTTTTTTCTCTTCAGGCAGATTTACGACTGCGTGACCATGTGGCCTTGGTACAGACAAAGGCAAACCTGAAATAACTGGAAGAGGTGATTTCCTGGGAAGGATAAAAGTGTTGTTGCACCGCTTTGTTCTTCAATCTGTCTTCCTGCACCATCTGTTTTA